GAGAGAGAGATGGGGTTTAACATCAACTCACCATAAACCAGGTCATATTGGGACTAACATATGGTTTAATCTTATTTCAATAATTCGCTTGCGTTTAGGGGTCTTTTAGCAGTTGGACGAAACTGTAGGAACCGGAGAAAACCCATGAGGTTGGACTCTGTGTCATGTACAACTGGGGAATCGATACCACGCTAGTTGACTCAATCACAGACCTTATGATGCAGCGCGCAAACGCAAACCATTTGGCCATCCACCCCCCCACACACACACACACAAGTTCATTAGAAATTGAATATCTAAATGAATACTTATCAAGTATTCTCTTAGGTATCGGGGGAGGGGGGGGGGATGGCTGAATGGTTAGCGCGCTGTATTATAAAGTCTGTCATTGAGTCGACTGGCGTGGTTTCGAATCCCCGGTTGTACGTGGCAAGGAGTAGGGTCGCCTGTCCAACCTTGTGGGTTTTCTCCGGGTCCTTCGGTTTCCTCCCACTGCAAAAGACCCCTACGCGCAAGCGAATTATGTAAATAAAATTAAACCATATGTTAGCCCCGAAATGACCTAGTTTGTGTCGAGTGGACGTTAAACCCCATTTCTCTCTCTCACGCTCTTAGGTATCGGTATATATGGTACCATCATAAAAACCTCATTACAAATATTATCAGATTGTTAATTTCTGTGGCCATTGATCGTAACTAGTTTTAACAATGTATATGAAGGGTGATCTACTCGTTATTCACTAACCATTAAGATGATGTTATCTTTGTTGACTTCGCTACTGGAAACATCAGCAGGGTCGTTCCGTATAATGATAATTATTCCTAACAAGTAACTAGCCAAGCTTACTAATGTTCTCTGACAATATGAGGATCATGTGTGGTGATAATGTCAATACAGCTAGTACATGTAAGAGTATTTATTTGGTAGAATTTGGGATCAGCCATTCAATCAATCAATGAGATTGGTATAAGCTTGAAAGGCTGTATGGATTGATCTGACTTTCGCTCAAGTCATAGTAATTTGAAATTTCTCTGTTTTAATATTGAAAAGCTATTAGAGCTGTATATCGTAGGGTTCTAGGACAATTGTCCCTGAACAATTCGTCCCCGGACAACTCGTCCCTGAGGACAATTTCTTTAGAATTAGCTGTTGATCATAATTAGGGGACGAATTGTCTTTCGGGACGAATAGTCCTAGGGGATTAATTTTTGGGGACAAATTGTCAGGGGACGAATTGTCTGGGAATGAGTTGTCCAGGGACGAATTGTCCCATACCCACATCGTAGATTGAGTAAGACTGACATATGTACAACCTTAATAGTGTTGTTTTTTTCTGGTTTTAAATGTTATTTCACAATGAAGATCATTATCAACTCTATAAACCATTTGATGACTGAGATAAATGTATTGATTGAATTAGATAATGTCTGCCATACATGTATCTTCGTTAACTGTTAAAATGGAAAATAAACATTCCTAACTTCACACAGGATAGAGTAATTCGACAGACATTTTCAATATATTCAGTTTTAATTATCTATTTTTTAAACTATTATACCAATAATGGTCAGTGCTTTATCTAAATCCTACATAATGTATCTTTAACATTTACAAACAATCAATGAAGTGTGAAACATTGACAAATATGACTTTTCATAAATAAGAATGGAGAAAACATGTATGATAGAGAGAGAGAGAGAGAGAGAGAGGGGGAGAGAGAGAGAGAGAGAGAGAGGGGGAGAGAGAGAGAGAGAGGGGGGGTAATGTCCACTCGACACAAACTAGGTCTTATCAGGACTGACATATGGTTCAATTTTATTTCCATAAATCGCCGGTGCATAGAGGTCTTTAGCAGTGGCAGAAAACCGGACGACCCGGAGAAAACCCACGAGGTTGGACTATACATGTATGGCACTGGTATAATTTGGGATAAACCAATGAATAACAGTCATTAACAGACTAGGTACATGTAGGCTACATATAGAATTTGATTTTTCAAATACAGTAAATTCCTTAAACCCCCCCCCCCCCCCAAAAAAAAACAACAACCTCCAAGCTTCAACTGAACTTCCAGCAAAATCAAATAAATCCATTTAGATGAATTAACTCTAAATTATAAAAACCTTAAATACCACCTAACATTTTTTAAATCAAAATATTATAAGCTTTTTGTTATGGATGTGGTTTAATTTCAATTTCTGCTTGGACTACACGTGAATAAAATCAACTTTTATGTTGGGATTGGGGGAAAAAAAAAACGAAAAAGAACCCACTACCAATCCCCCCCCCCCCACAATAAAAAAAAACCCAAACCAAGCCACTCTAAATTATAAAGACCTTAAATATTTAAATATCTGCTTGGACTAGATGTAAATGAAATCAACTTTTTTGTTGGGATTTGAAAAAAAAACTGAAAAAAACAACCAATCCCCCAAAACAAACAAATACAACAAATTTAAAACATCCATGTAACCTTACATTTCAAATTTGTTGACAATTGTTAATTTCTGAATTGTTTTCCCCACGGGTTTCAATTGGATTGGATGAAAATAGTTTGTTATGATTTGAAGTCCTTATACAATTACCGTAGGTGGCACAATGTGGACATACTATATGGAGTCACCAAACATTAAGTACCTTTTGAGAGAATCTGGTAACCATTAACGATTTACCATAAATATAAACAGTATAACAAAAAGGTCAAGGATATGTTTAGAAACAGTTACATTCTTTTAAAGTGACAATATGTTTATTCACGCTAAAATAAAACTCATACAAAGCCAAAAATTACTAACGGTAATATTCATCAATTCAAACTTATTTTAATATTTGACTCATTTCACAGTGCCATCTTTATTCATGAAAGTTACAAAATAGTAATTCTTACAATTTTAAAAAATTTTCCCCACACACCAGACACCTATCTGTACACTATCTGGGTATGGGTTGATTTGGGGGAGGGAGAGGGGAGAGGGGAGAGGAGAGAGAGAGAGAGATTTGTTTAACTAGAACATAATAACCTATTTTTCATTTTCAAAATATTTATGTACCAAAACTGGTCATCTGGTTTGTTATGGTGACCCTTTAACTATCCCAGAAGGAATTACTAATTGTTCTAGTATTTACGCCTGAATATACCATTTAGGTATTATCACACTGTACCGATATAGGTAACCGACTTATGACGTATACCCAGTGTCTATAACACTCCTTGTTTGTTGTTTGGGTATTATAATTTAACACACTAAAAATGTACACAAAACACCTTTACACTTGACACACCTTTTCATCTACGGGCATTACGTAATCTATAGTGTCATAATCCCTTTTAAGAAATAATCTCTTTACAAAATACTCTAATCAATAATGTAGATCAAAGTTTGACATCAAGTGTAACAAGACTGTATAAAAATTGCTCTTTGTTATCAATTATTTTAAATCTTTAACATGCCTGAATAATGTTTATATATAGAGTTTAAAAGAAAGAAAGAGAGAGAGAGAGAGAGAGAGAGAGAGAGAGAGAGAGACTAACATATGGTTTATTTTTATTTCAATAATTCGCTTGTGCATTGGTGTCTTTAGCAGTGGGAGGAAACCAGAGGACCCGGAGAAAACCCATGAGGTTGGACAGACGACCCTACTCCTTGTTATGTACAACCGGGGAATCGAAACCGCGTCAGTTGACTCAATGACAGACTGAATGCTTTTTATGAATGAGTCATCAATAACAGTGTTCAGACTGTATAATATCTCATTTGGAGGCACAACTATGATATAATACGTATTCAAATTGCCACAGGGCTGACATTTTCAACTCCATTTATCTTTTGTTAATGGATAATAGATTTGATAATAGTAATACGTTTTTTTGTTTTGAGCTAGTTTCCGCGCTGATGACTGAACACCTTGGGGAAATTCCAGTGAATGGGTTATTATATCTACTGTGGGCTTTGATATTGGAAGACTCCATCAGGAATTTTGTTCTGTGTAACTGGCATAATTTGGGTTAGTTATATACAAGTATTCAACGAGGATTGATCGCTGGTGAAGTCCATTACAATTTTTTGTAATTTTCTTCCAATCACACTAATGGAACCCACAAAAATTACAACAATTCATTTATTAAGTTAATTTAACGTTAAAGGCAAACAAATCAATGTACGGTATACATGTTTTAAAGTTTGAATTATACATTAATCAATTCCTTTCCACTGCCCAAAGCATGAGTGAGAGAAATGGTGTTTAACGTCCACTTAACACGAAACTAGGTCATTTTGGGACTAACATATGGTATAATTTTATTTCAATAATGTGCTTGCGCGTAGGGCTCTCTACCAGTGGGAGGAAACTAGAGGACCCAGAGAAAACCAACGAGGTTGGACAGGGGACCGTACTCCTTGTCATGTACAAGTGGATATTCAAAATCACGCCGCTTGACTCAATGACAGACCTTAAAATGATTTTATGCGCGTGTGTTAAACCACTAGACCACCCAACCCCCACAAAACAAGAAAGATTGAAAAAGCAGTGATTAAAATCCACTCACTACAAACTGATTTTAATGTCCACTCGACACAAACTAGGTCATTTCGGGACTAACATATGGTTCAATTTTATTTCCATAATTCGCTTGCGCATAGGTGTCTTTAGCAGTGGGAGGAAACCGGAGGGCCAGGAGAAAACCCACGGGGTTGGACAGGCGACCCTACTCCTTGTCACGTATAACCCGGGGAATCGAAACCACGCCAGCAGACCTTGTGATACAGAACGCACGTGCTAACCATTCGGCCAACCCCCCACGATACATAATGTACTTGTTAATCTTAATTTGTGTTTTATTCTTTTACTGGTGACTCATTGACTCAATGACAGACTTAATGATACAGCACGCACCTGCTAACCATTCAGTCATTTGATCATTTTCAATTTAAATCATCAACAAAAACCCCCCCCCAAAACATTGAAAAAAAAATTAGAAAAAAAAATCAAGTGTACTTACCTGTGGATATCTGAGATTAAAAAAGGTTTCTAAATTTTCAAATAAATTTGGATCAACGCCTACTAATGGTTTAATAATGGAAACACCTGGTAGTTCTTCGGGTACCGAAGTTTTTAATTTATGTCGTAATTTCCATTTTCTGTAAAACACAAACACATGGAGATAATTTAAACATCTGGTCAAAAATAATTCATAAACAAAGCCGTTACTTTTTAAATGTCATAGAAATTCAATAACTTAACAACCCACTCATGCTTAATAATAGACACAGTGGGGATGACTGCACAACAAAACAAAAACAGAACATACCACCAATAAAGTAAAGAATTTGAATTTGATTGCCTTGTAGGATCAATTCGATAACTCGTGCTTTAATTGACACACTGGGATGACTGCACAACAAAACAGAGACAAAACACACCACCAATATTTAAGTCAAGAATTTGAATTTGATTCTCTTGTAGGATCAATGATACTATGTTTGAATATTTTATTAAAGATACTTTATGGGAGATTAGATAAAGAGCTGGCAGTCCTCACTATAATAGTTAAAAACTAGATAATGTAAAGGCAATTTGTTGAAAATATCAGTCAAATTGATCCACTACATGTATGAACCGAGAATTAAGCGACTGAAATATCGGCCTGTCCTCGATCATCATTACTAAAGTCGGTACGATAAAAAACATAGTCTCGGTTATCCAATTTTTAATTTAATCATCAATGAGCGTTGAGCAGCAGATCGGATTTTAATCCAGTAAATATCGCAGGCTAGCGATGCCATCGAGAGTTGATTATGGTCTGGATAATTTAATTAATGTCTAATTAATAATTTAGATAGCATTTCAGGCCTAAAGAAAGACCAGCAATTGGCAAAATTTAGCTCTTGCATAATGTATGTTTAAGATGAAAACGAAAACTATTTAACAAAACAATCAAACTGGTTGTAAAAAGTGACCATAAAAACCTCAAAATCAAGACTTGTTATAGTTAATACAAAAGTCCATATACATGTACAATTTTTATATTGTTTATAAAACTCATTGATATTTGTACAGATTTAATACTTCAAGGTATAAAAAAATACAAGTAGGATATTTGACTTTATAATCCTTGGGTGGCATTTAGCGATTTAACACAATAAAAAAACACAACCCAATTGTCCTTATTGTACTTGATAACGATATGAGAACACTTGTTGAAACGACATGGTGTCATACATTGTATGTGTATAAATCAGTGATTGTTTCCATATAAATTGTGGGTTTTTTTTTTGTTTTTTATTATTGACTTGATTAAAATTTATATAAAATATATTTGCGATACATGTACATGTATGTGTAGTAGATGTAACATGTTTGATTTGATTTACAATATCTTAAACATGTAAACTTCAACATGTGAGAGAGAGAGAGAGAGAGAGAGAGAGAGAGAGAGAGAGGTCATTTTGGGACTAATATATGGTTCAATTTTATTTCAATAATTCGCTTGCGCGTAGTGGTAGGAAACTGGAGGACAGCTGGCGACCCCACTCCTTGACACATACAACCAGCCAGGTAATCGCAACCATGCCAGTTGACTCAATGACAGACCTTACGATACAAGCACAAGCTAACCATTCGGTCATCTAACCCCACCTCCCCTTTAACATAAGAACTAGGTAACTAGGTGTACAGTACAGGTACTTGTATTAAGTTTCCTTTTAAAGGTAAGACAATACATGGAAGGTATGATGTTAAGAAGATTAGCCGAAATACCAGGTGACCTGTATACTTGTATATTAATGTCAGGTATACACAGGTCAAGGATTGACAAGATGAATCATAGGTGAATCATTTGACGTGGATGACCGTCTTAACACTACCTGTACAACCTGTATTAAAACAAATACACGATTCTAACGTCATTGATGATTATTATGTAGTTACTATTTTTAGATAAAATATGAGATTATTATCAATAATATCTGACCTTTAGTCTGTTTTATATCATATTTTATTATCATTTTTACATACAAATATTAATAAAATTTAACATTTAGGAAATGTAAGTCATGATAAAGATATGGGTTTTGTACAAGCATTAAATTTTGGGGCATAAATTAAAGATACATTATGGGAGAATAAATAAAGAGCTGGCAGTTTGCACTAAAAACTAGATAATGTAAAGCGAATTTGCTGAAAATTTCAGTCAAATTGATCCACTGTGAATCGAGAATTTAGCGATTGCATTTTTGGCCAAGAATCGATCATCATTACTAAAGTCGGTACAATTAAAAATATAGTCTAGATTATCCATTTCATGATTAAATCAAGAATGAAACTTGAGCAGCCAATCGAATCCTAATCCAGTAAATATCGCAGGCAAGCGATGACATCGAGAGTTGATTATGGCCTGGATAAGACAATTAATATCTAATTAATAACTAAGATAACATTTCAGGCCTAAAGAAAGACCTGAAATAGGCAGATTTAGCTCTTGCATAATGTATCTTTAATAAAAAAACCCATGGAAGTTAAAGTTTTATTTCCAAAATTTATTTTATGAGACATGTCCAAATGACAAATTAAGTACATATACGCTAGTCTTGCCCATTTATTAACATTAAGGCAATGTGTAATAGTCCTGTTTATCACTGTTTAGGAGATGGGCCTACCTGTGTATACTAATTTTATTTGTCAAATTTCTTGTTATAAAACTTGTCCAACTCTCTCAATCAAACGTAATTTATATTTATAACAGTTAGGATTTAGTGTCTCATAGTTAAAGAATTAGTTTTAGAGGGAAGGTCATGTTATTCAAAATCCCATAATACAAAAATAGTAGCAAACTTTCTGTTATGACCCTTGTCTAACTGACAAAATTTAAAATGAAAATGTTATGTCTCTTATATGAATATGTAAAACCTACCGGTACATATATTTGTAACAGTTAGGGTTTAATGAAGTTGTTGTATACATGTACATGTAGTTAATTGATTAGTAACTATTCAAAACCATAAGATACATGTACAAATTTTAATGTCACAATTTCTTTTATGACACTTGTCGAACTGACAAAATTAAAACGTCTTGTTTCTTCATGAACTTTAATTTATATTAGGCCTATTTGTAACAGGTTTTAATGAATTTGTCATAATTAATGGATTAATTAAGATGGAGATTAACTGTTTAATAAGATGTTATATACCAATCAATCTGTTGATCTATACCTTTGATTAATACGGTCCATTAAACAAGATAATCAGATAATCTAATTAAATACATATTTACAATGCATTGACTACTGTTTAGGCCGTGATTAATAAATTGTTTTTTTCTCATGACCTGTGTTTGTGAAATATACATGCTACATGAGGTATTAATTAATTATATTGCGATGGAATTTAAAATTTTTGAGTTTATTGCTGTGTCTATTTCAGCAATAACTAATGTCTGTTACTTGATCATTGAAACCCCAACAGTAACCGGCGTCCATGATTCATTCACATTTTAAAGGGACAATAACACTCTTGCTGGCTTGACAGCTCCAGAAAATAAATAATAGCCTTATTCTATTCTAAGTACTAAATGTGTTAGTGTCTTACCTGTTGTGTAAATTATCCATTACATCCTATTTTACTTGTCCCGAGGGTTCAAAAATATTTTTAAATTCAAGTCACATTTGAAAAGGTTTACGTTAGGCTTTTCAAATCATTTAGTTGAATTTTTCCAATTTTTTAAATTAGGTGTGTTAAGATGAAATTAGTATCATCAATTAATTGGAATATTGTAAAATAGTACAATTTGTTGACTAGAATAAAGATTGGGACATATTATTCAGTTACAACAAGAATGGTATTGAGCCTTTAATACATTCATTCGAAAGAGATTTTCATACATAGTCATCAATCATGTTCTATTATCATTTTAGTTATTCACAGGGTTTAACATCCGCTTTCACTGAGAGTGATATCGCAGACAAGTTATTTATCTTTATTATCTTTTTGTACAATCAAGTTTTCTATCTTTATTGGAAATATTTTGACAGTTTTAACAAATTCTTTTAAATCATCAAAAAAATCAGAGCAGATTAATATTCTGTCAAATTGAAAGTTTTTTTTTTATTTAAAGATGCCTTCCTACAGTGTACATGTATGTACAAATTGTGTGATATGTTTGAGTCAACTGGCGTGGTTTCGATTCCCCGGTTGTACGTGACAAGGAGTACGGTCGCCTGTCCAGCCTCATGGGTTTCTCCGGGTCTTCCGGTTTCCTCCCATAGCTTAAGACCCCAACGCGCAAGCAAATTACTGAAATAAAATTGAACCATATGTTAGTCCTGAAATGACCTAGTTTGTGTCGAGTGGACCTTAACCCCATTTCTCTCTCTCTCTCAATTCTCTTTCTAAATAGCTCTCCAGAAACCTCCCTTACTACTTATATCACAAGACAATGTAACTCAAGTGATATATTAACGGGGAATTCGGGGAATTCGAGGAGGTGGTCATAAATTGTATTAATCACATGATAACTACAAATTCATTGTACATCACATGCACTTGACAGATTCTTTCATACATATAAGTCATGTCAGTTATGTAGGATATGTTACATTACACACAGAAAAAGTTATAATTAGAAACAATGTGACACCTTTTCAAATTATGTAATTGAACTCTGGTAATATTTTACGAAATAGGAGACACATACAATGTATATGTATATGATGAATCGTAAGATTTAGGGTAGGGATGGGGGTTCATTAATACATTATGTTAACAACAATATATAAACAATGATAGGTTATTTAACAAGATAAATTGTTCAAATATATTTAAAAAGTAAAAAAAAAATACGTAATAATGTAATTAAAGCATATCTGAGAATAAAAACAACTTCACCTGGGGGGAGGGGGAGAGAGAGAGAGAGAGAGAGAGGGGCAGAAAGAAGAGAGAGAGAGAGATGGGGTTTTACCTCCACTCCAGACAAAGTAATTCATCATTTCGGGACTAACACATGGTTCAATTTTATTTCAATAATCTGCTTGTGCGTTGGGAGGAAACAGGAGAAAGCCCACAAGGTTGAACAGACGACCCTATTCCTTGTCAGTAAAACCGGGGAATCGAAACCATGTCAGTTAACTCAATGATAGACCTTATGATACACTGCACACATGCTAACCATTCGGCCATCCAACCCCCTGATTAAGAGTAACAACTCATTAAGTATAAAAAAAATGTACGAATGTAATTAAAACGCATCTGAGAATAAAAAGAATTTCACATAGATGAGGAGGAGGAGAGGGAGAAAGGGGGAGGGGGAGGGGATAGAAAGAAAAAGATAGCCCAATTATAGTTACTTATAGTAGAGAAGAGAGCCGATATGTATATACATTACTAAAGTAACTAGCCCAATTATTATTATTATTACTATACCAGTACTTGTCTTAGAGAGATAAACACAATGATTTGGAAACAGTAGAAGTCAATTGTAACCTTAATGACTATAATATAAGTTAGAATTGATCAATTTGAACCAGAATGTACCATTGATTGTATACTATTTAACTCTATGTATACCGACCGGGTAGCACGATTTACGCAAATCCAAACAAATTTACCCAAATCCACCCAAATTTACCCAAATCCACCATTATTTCAACTTAAAAGACAATAATTTATATCGATATTTGATAATATATGGTTCTTTTGCCAAATTGTTGTTTTTAACGTACACTCGTAACTTTTTGGTGTCAAAATGCAAATTTTCAAGTAAGTTTTGAAGTTGTAACCAAATTCACTACATGATTTTAATTCATATCACAATTATTTATATTGATATTTGATAATATACAGTTCTTAATGCTATATTGTCATTTTTAATTGAAACTTGTATCAATTTGCCTCTCAAAATGTTATTTGGATGGATTTGGGGTTTAACGTCCACTCGACACAAACTAGGTCATTTCAGGACCAGCACATATATGGTTCAATTTTATTTCAATAATTCGCTTGGCATGGTAACTACTATCTGGTGGACAGAAAGGAATATTTTAATGGATTCTAGAGTACATTTACCATGCAATACATGTATAACCCCTCGGTTCGATAATAATACACAACATACCATTAAATTCCTACCAGGATGGTGCACAGAAAGGAATCTTCCAATGGAAACTAGAGTATATTTACCGTGCAATACATGTATAACCCATAGGTTATATAATAATACCCAAGAAAGGAATGTATATTCACTGTGTACTCTAACCCCCTAGGTTAGATAATAATACCCAACATGGCATTATATTTCTATCAGAATCTTCCAATGGATTCTCGAGTATATTTACCATATAATACATGTATAACCCATAGATTCCAGAGTCTATCTACTGTGTAATACATGTATAACCCCTATAAGTTATATAATAACACCCAACATGGCATTATATTTCTCGAGACATGAAAGGAAAATACTGCACATAATTCATCGAAGATGCACAGTAGAATATAAATCAATAATCCCCTTCTATAACTAAAATGGCATTACCATATTTCCCACACATTATTTGTGATAATTTACCATCGTGAGTTCGTGTTTAATTGATGTTAAATGACAATCGACCTGGTTGAAATGGGGCGTGTACAGTCAAAGGTTTACTGATGATCGGTCAATATTTAAGTGAACATTGATGTTGTTGGTTGGTTCTCATTATAGGACATGGTAGTCTGACATTTCATTCAAAAAAAAATGTTCGTATTTAAATTTTAAATCAAATATTTGTGATTTATTTTCTCACAAAACACGAAATTTAGAAAAACATAGGCTATTCCATATTGACATTCTGATGCTAAATTGTAATCCAGATGAGTCCAATTGCACACAATCTACAGCAAGACAGATACAGCAAGAACGATTCATTCAGTCTGACTGACTGATGATGACGGGCCGGTAAAATATACGTGCCAGAAATTATTCCAATACTTGTGTCTAAGATGGCTAAAGTCTAGGATATAGCAAATAAATAATCTAACTTTATGTCTTACCCGTATGCAATAGCCATAATGTGTAATGCCCAATTCACTGACCAGCAGGAAAAAATTAAAATAGCTAGTCCTAACAGTACATAATCCACCGGTTCCATTTTTCCCTTCACAGTCTGGCTGCTGCGAACCGTTCGTTCCCACAATTCTGTACTGACTGGCGATAGGCTCTCTGTCTCAGTCATCACGAACTTTGACCTAGAATCGACTGGGCGGGTCACTAACGCACAACGTGGTTTTGAATCATTCAGCGTATATACGCTTCACCCTACTTAACTCATATAACGTGTTGATTGCGCAAAGCGATTAGTCCGATTGTTAAATCCGTGTTGAGCGTCCGTTACATATATCTGCAGACGTAACAATAATAAAGTGTTACCATGACAACAAATATTACCGTTATCTCACGAAGCGATTTTCTATCGGTAAACTATGATTCGAGAGAGATCGAGGTCTTCAACATCTTTATGATCACCTCGTAGTAATTTTAACCACCCAACCGTAAAAATAACTGGAATGCCCGAGGCTTACCATAATACAACTCACTTAAGTACTCGACCGTGTCATAAAAAGATGAAAAAAGAAACAAATTTTTTATAGAATTTATTGTAAAAAGATGTATTTAAACATAAAATAGATTGAAGATGTACATGGGTAAATAAACATTCGATCTGTCTCCGCTAAGAAAAATAGAATTAAATCTCAGATTTTCAGCAATTTATAACATTCTTAACCACAAGGAGGATTTAGACAAGAAAAAAACAATTATTATTATTATTATTCACCAACAATTTTTATGCAAAATTTCGGATAATCCAGTATGACTTCTCTACTTCATCAATTATTGAAGAAATTCAAAAATAACACCAACATTCTAAAACAATTCCCACATCTCATGCAATATGAATAATATTTTAAATCCCCGGAGTAATGTTTCCTTGAAAAAAAAACTTGGCGAAGAGAGAGAGAGATTGGTGTTTAACGTCTACTCGACACAAACCAGGCCATTTCGGGACTAACATATGGTTCAATTTTATTTCGATAATTCGCTTGCGTGTTGGGGTCTTTAGCAGTGGGAGGGAACCGGAGGACCCGGAGAAAACCCACGAGGTTGGACAGGCGACCCTACTCCTTGTTACTTACATCCGGGGAATCGAAACCTCGTCAGTTGACTCAAAACTCAATGACAGACCGTATGATACAGCGCGGCCTTAATGTTTAAACCTGAGAGATTTACTATCGCATTTTATCTGTCCATTTTTTTAAACTTGATTTGGATCGTCACTTGACATTTGTATCAATAAAAGACTGATGTTCACTCCAGATAATTATTCGTCTTATTACATAAAAATCGTATCAGTAAAATGTCAAGACAAAGGCATGTTTTTTTCTTTTATGCACGTCATTCGATGTTTTATTTCAACCATTTAAGATAATTAATTGGAATCCTTTTTGCGTTGGATTAAAATTTTCTATCGGTCAAATGACAATTATGTCTTTATTAAGATTAAAAATTTTATGAGATATAGAAGAAGACGTTTTTATTGCCTTTGTCGACATGATTGATTTCTGTAAATTCAAAAGGACTAACACCAGCCAAACAACATCATATAAAAGGAGCTAAATCGTTTAAAGGTTTTAGGGAATACCATACAAAGGAGCTAAATCACTGAAAGGTTTTGGGGAATACCATACAAAGGAGCTAATTCGCTAATATACTATTCAAAAAAAGTAGGGGATATTTGATTTTGGGGGCATAATACTAAAATATGCAAATGACTACGAAAAAAGTCACTATAGAACCTAACAGAAGAAACATTTCCAGTTACATGTGACGCCCAAACGCACCAACAGCTACCGCATGGAATGCAGGTGATGCTTGGGATCATCATGGGGGTCCAACCCAAGATTTGCACGACTCTGACTTTGAATGTTACAGTCATTGTGGCATTGAATTCCAGGGTGGAAACATCAGTTTAATTGTTTTAGTGACCAGAAAACAAATTTTGATATGCGTCGGCTTACCCAAAATGAAAGGTTACGTGCCCTTGGCATGCTACAGATCGGCACAACACAGGCGGTTGTGGCGCGGACGATGAATGTTTCTCAGTCTGTCATAAGCAGGCTATGGTCCAGATACCGTGATACACAATCTGTACAGGACAGACCACGCTCAGGTCGACCAAGGGCGACAACTCAAGCCCAGGATCGATTTATCCGTACCTTGGCCTTGAGAAATCATGTCATCACAGCAAATCCGATCAGCGCTCGTCTTCAAACAGACACTGGTGTGAGAGTGAATGGCCAGACGATTCGGAATCGACTGCATAGGGGTCACCTTCGCGCCCGACGTCCTCGCGTGATCCCTTGTTTGAGAGATCATCACATTCAGGCAAGACGTCGTTGGTGTAGGGATCGTCAACACTGGGATAATCGACGCTGGAGCAATGTGATGTTTTCAGATGAGTCAAGGTTCACTGTTGATTTTTTGGACAGACGTAGGAGGGTGTGGCGTCGTCGAAACGAGCGCTTCCAAGACGTTAACGCCATCAGACATGATCGATTTGGGGGTGGTTCTGTTATGGTGTGGGGAGGCATCACTGTTGCTGGAAGAACGGCTTTACATGTTGTTGCAGGGCGTGTTACAGGCCAGTACTACCGGGACAACATCTTGGCAGTCCATGTTGTGCCGTTCGCACGACGTCATGGCCGCCGTTTCATCTTCCAGGATGACAACGCAAGATGTCACAGGGCCAGGATCGTTACAGGTTACCTCCAACAACAGAACATCACCACATTACCTTGGCCAGCACTGAGTCCCGACCTCTCCCCCATCGAGCATGTCTGGGAAATGCTTGGACAGAGGTTACGTCAACGTCAACAACGTCCTGCCAATGTCCAAGAACTTGCTGCTGCGTTGCAACAGGAATGGGACAATCTGGACCAAAATGACCTTAGACGTCTCATTAGGAGTATGCCACGTCGGATCAATGCTTGTTTGGCAAACAGAGGAGGATTTACCCGTTACTGACTTGGTTGTGATGCTGTGGTAACTTTGCTGTTTGACCCCGGGTATCATTTTACCCTTATAATGGTCAGTCTGTGCCTTACTTAGTCTAACGATCATTTGGAATAAATCGATGAATGTGAACTTCATTTCATTTTGTCATTTGTTTCTTCGTCAGTTTCATTAGGTGACTTTAATAACACTTAAAAATCAAATATCCCCTACTTTTTTTGAATAGTATATTTGGGACCTAGAAATTGACACAAATGGGTCGCGACGCATATAATAATAGAATATGAATGTATATAAACTGATTTACATTCAATCGTTTCCGTTTTCTCTCTAGTTTCAAATCAGCTGTATTCGGCGAAATACGCCAGACGTCTCAATCGAATGGCAATATCTGCAAGCGTGTGGTTATTCCAATCTACACCGATAGTATTTATTGCGCATGCTCTCCAGAGAAGAATATGGCGTCACCATTTGACGTGACTCGTGGAATATGTCTAACCTCGTTCTTCGAGTGCCTTGTTACAAATGGCGCTGAAACGCATTCGTGTACCTATGGTAAAATGTTTAACATCAATGTTGATTTAAATTGACAAATAATTGTGTTTTCAATGTCGAAGACTTTAGATGATGTTGAGTTAGAGACTTAGCTAAATTAAACACGGTCAAGGTAAATGAAACTTTGCCCGCACAGCGGCGCTCAGACCCACTATTACTCCGAATTCCAACTGTCACACCAATGTGTACACAGGGCCTCGTTTTTAGTCCAATCCGAACGATTAGAAACTGTCCTTGCCAAGCCCTTCCGTCCTGTTCCGGCGTGACCCAACACGAAGCCTCGAAGAGGGTAGGGGGTTCTCCGCCAAGAAAATTTGGAAAGTTTGAAGCTGATTTCCTTGCATCTGAGGCCATTTCTGAATGTATATAGACTCTCTGCTATAGGCTCTATCCTGTACAGGCCCCACATGTGCGCTGGGGGGGGGGGGGGGGGGCCCTCCCCAGCTCAATGTTCTATTGCATATTTTATTATTATTATTTGACTGATGTTTCCCTCTTTGTTTGATCTGTGCCGTGTCCCTTGTGATTGGATAATAAAGTTATTGATTGACAGAAAACATCACAGTAGGCTACTATGGCTGCTGAAATGAAGTCCATAATGTCGGATTTTTAATAAATCGTCATTTTCTTTCGTTCGATAAGGCTTGTAATATGTCTTATATAAAGTTTTTAAGGTTACTGGGTCCAAATCCGACTCCTAAAACTAACTTTGAATAGTGGGGGTCCATGTGGGTTCTATCCCCTCCCCGGCTTTTAAAATGTCAAAGGCCTGGAGATGGGTGGGGGGGTGGGGGGGGGAACCCCCTCAAAAAAAAAAAGATACATTGTCACAGGAACTTGGCATCATACCCCCAGCTCCTGCAAAAATTCCTGGATCCGCCCAGGCCGTGCCATCGGTTAGATGATTATTCCTTGTGATTTATTGGGAGATGTATATTGATGTTCAGTCGTTTGGAAATTACACGCGAACATAATGTGGATTTATATATGCCTTCAGGATGCGTGTTTTATTTTAGTTTGCATCGGCTCTATGTGTCTTCACCGTAGGTTCTTATGCAGTTCACTTGTATTGCACAGTAATTGATCAAATGTGGCATCAAATGTGTAATATACACTATATACCATGGTATTCATTTTTTGTTTCACGTGCGTGATGTATGTATTTAAATACGACACGATAGTCGAATGATTAGAGCGTGCGCGTTGTATCAGACTGTCTGTCATTGAGTCAACTGGCGTGGTTTCGATTACCCGGTTCGACGTGACAAGGAGTAGGGTCGCCTGTCCAACCTCGTGGGTTTTCTCCGGGGCCCCCAGGTTTCCTCCCACTACTAAAGACCCCTACGTGAAAGCGAATGCAACATTATGGATGGGGTAAAACGCACAGTTAAATTTTGATGTTTATTGAATTCTTTTATTCCGATATATTTGATGTGAGATAGGACCATAAAAAATTTACAGAAAGTAGACCCCTATTTTAATGAATAATAATTTATTGATTTATAAAAAAAGGCCCATAAACTGGGGAAATAGCATGCAGAAATTGTAAGTGCCCCACGGGTTATCCCCCTTTTAAACTTGGAAAATTGACGAGTTGTCTGC